GTACCGATTATTGAAAATAGTTGTTTATGTGCATCAGCTTCATCCGAATATACTGTCGCTCTTATTTGTCCAAATACAAAAAATATGTCCGTAAGTTTAATCATATATAAAAATTTAAGTTAATCTTCTAGAATGATAAATACACATTTAACAAGACTTTAATACTTGTTCTTATGAAAATCTATTATAACCATTAACTATTCTTTTATATTTTCTATAGAGTTTTTCTGAAAAACATTTTGGTGAAAAAGATTGGCAAAAATTAGTTGAAGAAGATGAATTTATTGAATTAGTTCTTAAAGAAGTTCAAGATGGGTGTAAAAAAGGTGGAATTGAGAGATTTGAAACTCCTCAACGTATTAAAATAGTAACTGAAGCATGGACACCGGAAACTGGTCTTGTTACTGATGCATTAAAATTAAAACGAAAAGCGATTGAACAAAAATATAAAGATGATATTGAAGATCTTTATGAAGAGAAAAAACCAAAACAAAATTCCGATAAAAAAAGAATATTAAATATTAAAAAACAAGAAATAAAAGATGAAAATAAATCTTTAAATAATCGAATAACAACATCAAATGAAAATCCAACTGATGTTTCAAAAGATATTATTTCAAATGATAATAATAACAAAAAAGATTTATAATTTCTATTCTATACTAACCAGAATCTTCCTTCTACTTTTCTTTTTTTAAACTGAATCTATTATTAACTTTAATGTACTGAACTCTATGTATCTTTCGTTTTCTATATTATTATATATCCAAGGATTTCTTTTCAATAAAAACTTCTTTTTTTTTTCATTTTTTCCAAATGAAATCTCATACAAGTTTAGTTCCTTTTTAATAGAAAATTAATCTCAATTGTGTATATAATAAAAACAGTACAATGATTGAAACGAATCTTATTACTCCTACAATAATACGATTACTATTGCAAATTAACAAGATTAAATGTAAAAATTTCAAATAAATCATTTCAATATCAAACGAAGAAAATTTCTCTTCACTTTTCTAATGAGAGATAATCAATATTTCTATGATACTACGTAATACTAAAATCATTTCAACAATAAATCATATTCAATTATAAAAAGATCGATTTATTTTTCTATATAAATTGGCTAATTGTCTCAAGTCTTGCTTTAACTTTTATCAATAAAATTGTAGAAAGACGAAGATATTTAATGTCATTCTAATAACAAAACAATTTCTTGTATCGAAACAAAATTATTCTTTTATTTACAAATCTATGTAAAGTTTAATCCTAATTATTCGGATGGATGTTAATATATCATATCTATTGTGAAAAGCAAGATAAAATATAATGCTCTTGTCTATGTTTCCCATATTCATATCACAATGAGTCAACTTTAGTTATCTGAAAAATATCATACTGATGTTATCATTCTTGCATCTTTATTTGAAATAAAATAAACAATGTGATATCCCTATAATGTCATTATAGAATTATTCGTACAGATCGAATAGATAGAGAAAAATAGCATTTTATATTAAAAAAATATCAATAGATTTTTTTTCTCAGATAAGATTTAATTTATTTATGAACTTGTTTAAAAGTGAATACAAGAAATGAAAAGGTCATGCGTCTTCCTACGCTTAAAAACTTATTACATCACATGTTTTCATAAGTATATCTTAAATAAAACATCTAATGTATTTAGAAGCATTCCTCACATGAACAACTTCAAAACTCGTGAGTGTAATATTTCAAATGTGTTTTTAAGTATGCAGATCGAGAAGTGCGAGCTGGATCCAAAACAAAAGCATCGGAAGATGCTAGAAACTTGCAAGTAATAACTCGGAAAAGAATCCGATGACATAAGTTTTTCGGTTTCGCTCAGAAACATCAGGAATTGGATAAAATTAGTAGTTGCATACGATTATCGAATTTTCATTTGCAGGTCCTACCATATCCCAGTGGATTTTTCTTCGAAAATTCACAAAAAACTGCTTGAGAAGGTGTTGATCTGAGTACGTTTATAATCTAGAAGTCGATTAATGATTATTTTTTGTATTTTCAAATACAATCTCAAAGATCTTTTATTTAAGAATTCAATATAATTACCAATCATTTCTGATATAATATAATATTAAAAAGATCTAATCTAAATGTCAAATTTAATTTTAGAAAAATTATTTTGTCCTCATCTCTCGAAGCCTTTTTTTATGATGTATAGAAAACAAAATCTGAAATAAAGCAATTGGATTGACTTAGATTTGTTTTAATTATTAAAATATGTTTAAATGAATAAGATAGACACCTTGCATTGTGGCTCTATAATAATGTAGAAGAAACAGCATTAGTATAATATTATAGGAATAATTAAAGAAAATATATAAAGAGATAGAAAGAAATTAATTATTTTCAATTAAACTATGAATGTAAGTAGAGAAGATTCATATCAATGCTCATTCACTGTATATTGCAGACTGGATAATAATATTCTCTGTTTTCTATGTTTCACGTGATCATTACATAATACACTATTAAAAACAATTGTACATCCTTTCAGGCACTTACAAGAACAAAGTGAGAACAAATGCACTGAATAACAGAGGAGCATCTCGTTCTAGAAAATATTTTCAATTAATTGTTATATACTTATTATTTTCCATATAGATTTATATTGACTGTCACTTATTTAGACAATCTTTTTAATTGTCTTTTTTAACTATCACATTACATAATGATAAAAAAAAGTTTGAGTATAAACACTTTCGAGTATTGCATAAACAGCACACTAAAAACAAAAAAAATAAAAAAACGTTTGAATATAAATATTGACAGTATTTTATCACATTATTAGAAAATTTTTGTCATATAGATAACGTTGAAATGAATACTTTTACTATTAACATTGCTTTACTGGTTACAGTTATAGCATCTCTTATTCATGTTGCCAATTGTGCATCTGATATTTATGTTGCTCATACACAAAGAATATCATCAGTTCAATTTCAACCTCCAATAATTGAACATTATCTTGATACAGTCAATGCTAAATCAATTATATATTGTGTTGCTGCTTGTAATAAACATGATCTATGTCGTACATGTGATTATGATAGTTCGACAAAACAATGCCGTTTATTTGAATCACTTGGATCAACTGGTACACTTATTCCATCAATACATACAAGTAGTGTTTTTATCCTTAATTATTGTTTACAAAAAACAAACAATTATGATTTGTCGACTATCTATTCCGAACCTGATTATCTTTGTACACCAGCTTTACCAGGACAATCTATGACTGTTTATGATGCATTTCAAAAATTAATTCTAGCAAACAATAATGTTCTACTTCCATTAGCTGAACGAGATGTTTATATGTCATCAAATGGTTTCTATACATCATCTAGTGATAGTAGTGCAATTCGTCATTATGGTTATAATGGACAATTGATAACAGCATATGCATATAGCTCTTCATTATCTTGTATCAACTATAATCCAAAAATAAATACATTTATTGTTTGTCCTTACAGTATTCCACGTCTTGAAACCCAACTATTCAATCCAAATACGAGTACTACAATGCCACAACAAAGTATTTCAACTGTGGGTAATCCATTCTATTCTTATTATGATACCAATCGTCTCTACATTAGTTATCGTTCATATGCAAGTCCAATAACAATTCATTCAATTAGTGGAACGAAACTTTTTACTGCAGATTCACAAAGTACTGGTTCTTTTACTCCATTTACTTTGTGGCAATCACAATTAGTTTTTGGTACAGGTAATTCAATTTTTTTATTTAATCTCAATGGAACATATCAATCATCATGGTCATACAATTTTTCAAGTGTTGTGTCACTCATTGGATTTATTCAACATGATTATGCTGGTCGTCGATATTTCAATGATTACAATACAAATCCAAGTAACAAAGGTGTTTATATTTATAATCAAAATTCTACTTTCTACACGGTATTGAATCGTGCATGTGTATGGACATGTGCAATTAAAATAACAAAACGTAATATAACTCTTGTATCTCTACAAAGTCCCACTTCTTCATTGTATTATTATAATTTTTAATATTAATAAATAAATATGTTTATATCAGTGAACTTTACACTGACGCATAAGAATTAATCAATTAGTCTAAAACTGATAACGAAAAGAGAAGTAACACAATTGTCAAGTAAGATTTTTTCGAAATATTTGTATGATGATATCACTGATTGAACAGAATTAGAAAATAAATACACTTTTACATAGAATTTTTTTGTTGTTGAGAGTATCGATATAGGCTGGAATATTCTTAGCTAATCTTCATTCACTAAACTCAACTTATCTAAATGAACTTCACATTTTTTTAACAATCAAATCAATGAAGAGATAATCTCGTCATTTTTTCTTCGTATTTTCCTGTTTCAGATATTTTCTTGAAAACATATATTTGCACACGGTTGTCGTGATGTGAACCATTATATTTTCTGTTTCTTTTTTAATGTACATTGTTAATCCTTCCAATATTTGACCAAATATTAGAGAGGGATGTTACGACCTCCTCGTAAATGTATTCGTCGTTCTCGTTTTTTTTCGTTGTCTATAAAATCTTTCTCTTATATTTCTTCTCCTATATATACATGTCTATGTTTACTCTTTTAATAAGATGATAAAAGATCAATTGATAAATAGATACAAAGTAAGAAACATTAAGATAGAGAATCAATGATGATTAAATATATTTATTTAAATTGGAATTAAAACAATAGAAAAGAAAGTTAGAATAATATGAAATGAAAATAAATATGGTAAAAAGAAAGCGAACTAATTAGTTGAAATAATTCGAGAAGCAGAAAAAGAGTTTTTGAATGGATTGAATTATTGATGAATGGATATATATGCTTGAGTTAGAGATTCTATGAAGAAAAAAAAGATAAAATAAATTTAATAATTATCTATTTTAGTAGTTATCATAAAATATTCTAGTGAGACTCTAGACATACCATAAATAATCGTTACGCAGCACGACGACGACGACCTTTAGCAGCACGAAATTCATGAGTTAAAATAGCACGATCATTAATCGAGCCAGAAGCGCGAAGATCATGATCAGCAACATTATCATCATCATCATCATCAGTTGCAAGTGGATGACCACGAGCACGGTTGATTAACAAATCATGATAGTGTGCTTTTAGAATATTTCTAAGATTGCGATAATCATTGTCACTGATATCCTGATCGTCTGCCTCTTTTACGATTGCCATATTGAACATTACAAGTAATGAAAGGATAACAAATAAAGAAGCCAATAAATTAATATTTTTCATGATGCTTGGATTGTTTTGCAAAAAAAAGTGTGAATCAATTAAACTATTGGCAATAGACCTATGCTTGGCTTTATATATGGCATGTTAGTAGTGGGTAGAGAGAGATGTGTAGTGTAGTCATTGGTCGAAAGTTGCTTCAAGAAAAACAAAGTAGTTATTATTCCATAAAAAAAACCTTAATTTTAATATCTCTCTGAATAAAAACAATTTCGATTTCGTATGCAATTGTCTCTGTATGTCATTATCGTTAACACGAGAAACAATGGTTTGTTTTTAATGATGAATAGGTTTTTTTCTCGAAATTTAATGTATCTACGCAGTAAAATATTACTCTTTCTTCTTGCCTTTATATTTGAATGGAAACAAAGAATATCATTGTAATGAGCTTGTTATGATGAAAGTAAGAAAGAGAAAAATTAATGGTTAAATTCAACGCAACTCATGCGTAACATTGTTGAAGAAATGCGAAAGATGAAATATGCACTTACATATCTATATCAATATCGTTCCTTATGTAAAAAACAGACCATCGATAATGTCGATTTCATTCAATTAATTTCTATTCAAAAAATTCATTTAGATCCATAGTATTAGTCTAATTAAGATTATGTTATTTTAGTTGACTTCATGTTACAGTGTAACTTATATAAGATGATAATTTGGAAGTTTAATAACAGTTCGATTTATTTAAGAATAAAACGCGACTATTTATATGACAAGAAATGGTGATATTGAATTATTCCTATTTCTTGTCATACAATAGAATCTAGGTAAACACTTAAGTAATGTCCTTTCATTCATCACTTGGAAATTTCTATATACATAAAAGAACAAAAGAACGAATTAAGATAATGAAAGGAAAATACTATATGGTCATATATATGAGAGAGAAGGAAAATACCAAATAGACAGACACATGTGAAGAAAAGAAAGAGTAGCGAACAAATAATACATGTGCTCGCTTACACTTCAAGAAAACAAATACGATTATAGTTCAAATTAGATTGTTTCACAATGCATCACAAAGGGAAAAGTGTGGATGAGGTGTCGACAGTACCTTGGCACCTACTCAGCACTTCAACATTTAACCAACACCTTAGCAACTACTATCACTTTTCTCATTAGACAAATATCGAGAAATTAGATGAAAGTAAAAGAATAAAAAATAATAATGATCATATTTAGGAATCTAATTGATTATACATAAACGAAATGTTTATAACAATGTTTATGTATTGTCAAATGATCATGCAATTAGTTTGGAAGAAATATTTGAAAAAAACAAAATATTAAAAATCAATATCTTTAACAACAACGTCACAATTATCTACAGATATCTGTAATGTACTTTTAATTCTTTTTTAATATTTATTTTCGTTTACAACTCTTAACTATTGTCTAAATACTAAATCATATCGAAAAACTTTTAAAAAATCACTACTTTTACTATATTTCTATTGTTTTTCTCTTCTTATAATATGTTAATCTATAATGACATAATAAATTCAATGAAATCACATCTTTTTCATTTATCACAATTACAATACATAACACGACACATGCATAAGAAAATCTGTATACCGTTTATATTCTAGGTTAAATTTTGACAAATACTCGAATAATAAACAATAAAAATAAATAGTATTGCATCGAATAATCTTTTTTTTATTGTACCTAAGTAAAATGATACATATTATCTTATATGATATTTCGAACAATTCTTTCTTGATTATTTGTAAAAGAAAATGCTTATTTTTGGTTTGGATATTCTCAATGAATATAAATCTGTTGAACTGAATGTATATTAATTTTCTTTTAACATCTATTTCATTTGATAATCTTCAAAACAAATTTCTTTTTTCTTGAAATGCTCTACTAAAGAATCTAATTTCAGTGAAAACTCTTTACTTAAATGATATTTGAATGAAAACGCTAGTTGAACAGAAAATTTCTTTGAAATCCATTCTATTGTTTACTAATTAAAGAATATTGATTAGTAAAAGTTATTAATGAGTATATGAAAATAAAATATATTTCATATAATTTACTTTTTTTCAATATTTTCATTTTTTATTTCGAGAAAAATAAAACTTGTCAAAGAATAAATGTAGTATTTCTATTAAACTATGATTTGTCTTATTCGATAGTAATATTCTATTTAATTATATGTGTACTTAGATATCTTTTATTGTCAACTATCTTAGTTAAAGAAAACGATTAATAGTTGGACAAATGAATCATTTTAATATAAATTTTCTTATAGAACAATTCATCAAGATGGCAAAGTTATTTCTTTATATTCGTTTTTGAATCTTACAAATTAAATTAGTTTTAGAAAAATTCAACTTTGATCAATCAATCACTAACTTCGAATATTTTTCAATAGAAAGAAAAAATTCTTTTTTTTTCCATATTTAATATATGGTTAAAGAATAACTCTTAGTAATATTTGTATATGATGAAATGAATATTGAAATTTGAATGAAAATATAACTAATCATATTTTGTAAGATTATTATTATATTTAATTAAACAAAACTAGTCATTTAGACCAATTGTTATTAATCTTTCGCTTCTATTGAATATGATCGATTGATTAATTTGATGAACACATGTGTTTTTGTTAATTATCTTTTGTAATTATTTTTCTGATAAAATCTTGTTGAACATAAAAATGGATATTATTGAACAGATTTTGTTATTAATTATAAATCCATCTGTTCTTTGACCTCTCTCTATTATTTTTTCTTTTTTTGTTATACGGAAGCATATATGTGTTTATCAAATCTATATCGAAAAGAAAGAAAGAGAAAGAGAAAGAGATGTTATTGTTGTTCACTATAGTATAAATGAGTGAATGAGGTTTATTTTATCTTAAGGTACTCTTAGTGATCAAATAGACTTCTTATTGTTTAGAAAGAATAAAAATATTCATTTGTAAATCAATTCTTTCAACAATGCTTTAGGTATATAAACAAAATCTTCAACGCTTTTCTTCCTTTTTTTTCTTTTAATCCTAATAAGTTAAAGTTTATTCTCTATGATAAACTTGAAGTGAGTACATATATATATATAGGTTTTCTTTTTTTGATCAAATTAATAAATTTATTTATTTCATCTAAACATAACTCATCTATAAGATATCCATACTTTGTTTGTTTGCTTTTTCAAATATATTTTTAATAAAAAAATATAAATATTATTCTTATTCTTATTGTTTAATAGATTTCTATGTGTCACTTAAAATCTTCTATATATTTTCATTATGATACTTTTCTTTTATAATATGAGAAAGATTCATTTTTGTTTCCGATATGGTTGAAGAAAAGAAAATAGAGAAAAATATAATATGAATGTCATTGAGAAGATCTTTTCTGTATTGAATGAATGAACAAACAAGAGTTCATATTTTTTATCTTGTTCTTCTTATTAAGTAAAGATAATAAACGTTCATTGACCTTGACACATTTTCTATTAGTATGAAGAAGAAAGAGAAAGAGAGAAGAAAGTTTTTGTATCTAATTTAATAATTTTTGTTAGTGATAAAATATGAATAGATGTTATATAATCGTAGAATTGAGAAGACGATGTCAACTAATCTTTTATTCACTATTCACTATTCACTAGAGGCAGAAAGAAGAAGAAGAAGAAGAAGAAAATTCATATATTATTTTGAATGATATGAAACTAAACAATAGAATATTAACATTGATAAATCTCTTTTTTTTTTTGTTTAGATAATGTCATCAATTTTACCTTATGATCAATCATTAAAATCAACGATAACAACAAATTCTTATGATATGAATGGAAAAAGTAATATTCTAATAACAAATCCTCTGAGTTCATCATCATTTTCTACATCAACATCTCGTTATGAATCAACAGTTATGAATAAATATAAAAATTTATCAAAATCAGATTTTACTCATCCACTTTCAGCTCTTAAACAAATGAATCATATTTTATCAGATCAACAAACAAATGTGAATATGACATATGTAAGTTAGTGTTGTTTTTAACAAAATACATGAGAAGAATAATCGAATTTGTTGTGATCTATGAAATGAAATGTGTTATTTTTATTGAAGCATGATGGTATTTTGTTAAATACGTGTGTTGAAAATCAAATAGAAATAAAAAAGAATAAATCAATAAAAGATTGAGAGATGATCTTCATTCTTTTTTTATTCGTTCGTTCGTTCGTTCGTTGGTGGTTTATTGATAAATTGAAATAGATTCTTTCGTCATTTCTATTTTCTTTTTTTTAACCTTCTTTTCATAGATTGATTTGTAAAGTGTATCAAATTCGATTTCTTTTTTTTTTTTTTTTTTTTATTTCTGACGATTGTGATAACCTTCATACACATAGAAATTACATCACGGACTATCGTTACTATTTTATAAAAGAATTATAAAGAGAAAAAAAAAAGAAGAAAGTGCGTCTCTTTTCCTCTTGACATTTCTCTAGGTGAGAGACATTTCTTGTTGAACATCATTCATGGCGTTACGTATACCACAAACAAAAATGACTACCATACGACAACAGGTATTGATATCAATATTTCTTTTCTTTTTTCTTTTTCCTTTTTGATTCAATCAATCTCAAGGATAATTGTTTCGATTAATAAATTGTATATTAAAACAGAATAAAATTGTATACTCGCGTCAGATTTATGAAAAAGAATTTCTTTTTCTTACATGACATGTTCAATAACACTTGTCTTTTCTTTACTTAATCAATGACTAGAAGTTATTATTATTCTTCTTATTCTGTTTTTTCTTCTTCAAATTTAACTTACTTATTTAGAAAAACTACTTGATAATAATCAATACATCAGATAAATATTTAAATAAGATTTTGATTTGATTTCAAAAACAAAGAATATAATTATTATTCATAAGATGAATATCTTCATTTATTTATTAAAAATAAT